CACCCCCAGCTAGGGACCAAGCTGTTTCTTGCATCCTGAGTTTCTTGTATCCTGAGTAACTTCATAGCAGCTTGGGAGCAAATAAAGAATTGAATGGACCCTGGCAGGAGGGAAGGACAGGTCTGCTGCGGGTCTGTGCTGCCATGCTGGAGTCTCTGATGCCTCCCACAGGGGTCTTGGCTGCTGGCCATTTTTGTTCCAACCGGAAGTATACTGCACAGGATGAGGTAAACTGGGCAGGGGCAGCCCCTGCTGGCTGCCAAGCCTGGGTCAAGAGGCAAACCAGACATCTTTCTTTCTGCCCCACCCCCGAAGAACAAAAGTTGACTCCTATGGCTGTCCAGACCCGCAGGGCCCTTGTCCTGGAGGAGAGGGCGGTCAGGTGCAAGTGTGTGGGGAACTCAGCTTCTAGTCTGCCGCGGGGATGACTCAGAGGCTAAATATAGCGAGCGACATAAACAGAGCCAGCCACAGAGCAAACACAGGGCGCTGGAGCCCAGGCCCTGGCTCTCACGCACACCAGCTCCCCGCAGCCCCTCCCCCGGCTCCCCTGCTCCTCGTCAGCAAGTCCTGGGTGGACCTTCCTCTCCCGGGGACCCCTATTGCTAGGACAAATCTTGCCCAGGGGCCCTGCCCAGGGCTTCCCATGGGTCTGGGCTCCAGAAAACCACTTGCCCACAAGGAGAGCCTCCCCAAAGGTCAGGAAGCAGGCACGGGGGTCCCAGGCCAAAGGTCCAGGCTGCCAGCAGAGGAGCTGCTAATTGATATACCAGGCAAACACCAGTTTGGGGAGGACTTCTAGAAGCATTCTCTAGGTGCTACAAAGCTGGGTCCAAGAGAAAACCTCAATCAGCTTTCCACACACAGCCTACAGAGACCAACTGCCCACATCTCAGCTACAGCACAAACCACCAGCACCTTTCCCATGAACTGTGTAACACCAACAGTTTTCAAATGGATGGAAGATCTTCCTCCCGTCTTTCCTCCTCTCTGTATAAAATAAATCTTCAAAAATGAAGTTCATTCTGAAAATTCCTGGAAATGTGGACTCTGGAAAAAACATACGTGGGTTTCAAATTTTTTTGCTTGAAAGCAAACTTTTCTTTAAAAGTTGTATTTTCAAAGACAGTAACAGATCTTCCACCTGTACAGCCACCTGCCAGATGCCTGCAACTGAAGCCAGGAACACCAAGTTCAATCCAGGTATCCCACATTGGGGACAAGGGACCCAAATACCTAAGCCATCATCGGCTGCCTCCCAAGGTGCACATCAACAGGAAGCTGAACAGGAAACCGAGCAGGGATTTGAATCCAGGTACTTTGATATGGGATGTAGGCACATGAAACAACATCCTAACCACTGTGCCACAACACTCAAAACTTGTCTGTTACTCTCCCTTTTCTTTCCCCCACAAACTTCTTTGAGTCACTTTGGTTAGAAACTGTGACTTGGAGAGGTGAAGTTCATTTGTTCATGACACAGAACTTACTAGTGGCAAACCAGGGGTTTTTAACCCAGATCCACCTCCAGACCCAGGATCCTTCCTATGACATTACAACGAAGGATGGCTGCAACGTGGTGGCTGAGTTTTCTCAGATTTCATTTTCCAAAAAGCCTAATCACTATTCAGGGAATTTCCAAATCTTTTTTTCTGAATGGAGTCACTGCTGGACCAAATAAAAAAGCTATTTCCAACATGAAGAATTCCAACACATGCGTAACTGTACTCACTCCATGGTCTCTAGTAGCTGCTCTTTTGATGATTCTTGGCTCCTCTAGGCTTCCTAGAAAGAACTTCCCAAATACTGGGACAGGAGGCTTTCCCAAGGGGGAGGGGACACAGTCCTGGTCCCTCCTTAGGCACAACAAACAGAAAGAGTCTCAGACAGTGTGACCCAGGGCAGCCACTACCACAGCTAAGAAGCGAATCTACACCCCTATATACTGGGCAGAAGCCAGGTGGACACAAAGACCCCACCCTCACTGAACCCAAGTCTAAGGAAACCATGGGGTCAGCGCGCTGCTGGGACTCCCTGCGGCGGCCATGTCAGCTCCTGGGAAGCTTCTACTTCGGATCCCATCAGAGGAAGGTAGGCCAAGTGGCAAGGCCTGGAAAGGCTACTACCCCCTCTACCTGTCCCCAACTCTTTGGTTGCTTTGATGACTCAAAGACTAGCCATTAGCATTATTCGGACTCAGCTCACCTGCCATCCATGTCATGCCTGTGGGTCTCAAGAATCTGTCCTGAGTAGATCACCTGAGTAACCAGGCTAGCTCTGTACCTTGCAAGGTTCCTAGGGAGATATGCAAAGAGGATGGCTTTGCACATACACTAACAGCAAGGGGAGTGGGAACCCATTGCCCCTGGGGTCATGTTGATGCCCTCCTACCATCTTCCCTGTCCTCATGTTCTGTTCCCTATGTTTGTGTTATATTTTGGGGGGATCCAGTGGGGAACTCCCCCTCTCTAGTGGACTGTGGGCCGAGGACCACTGCCTGGCCACAGGACACCTTCACCACCTCCTGTCTCTTGGGTGGCCTTTCTCAATTCTCTAAGTGTAGTCCCCAGTGACTGTGGCTCTTTCAGGAGAAGTGGGTAAGGTCACAGTGCACAACTGAACAGCCTGAATGCCAAGTTCTCAGGACAGGGTGGGGTGCTCTGCCTGACAGGTGGACAGGGAAGTGGACATGAATCCCCAAGAGCAGGTGTGGGGGGGATAACTAGGATAATAACACACAGGAGGGGTGTCTGTTGCATGTCTCACCGCCTCCCATTGCCTCCCCTGGGAAGATTCTGCAGGTGATAGCCTGGACACACAGAACAGGAAGAAGGAGTTCAAGCAACTTCCCGTTCCTGAGGGACAGTCAACAGGTGGCACAAATGCTCCTGGAGCACGGCCCTCTGACTCCGAGCTTCAACCTCAAGGCTTACCCCAGCGGTGCTGGAAGGAACAGGACAGGGAAATAGATAGGAATGCAGGGATGACAACAGCTATTTCTAGACGTGAACAATCAGACCACGGTCGATGGTAGGATCAAGTTAAGAAAACAACTCATGGCTTAGCAACCAGCCACTACAGGCCCCAGGAATGCTGATAGCTCCCTCTGCCTGTGGCTGGTACTCTGGTTTACTCTGCAAGACGAGCTCCTGGTAAAGGTCTGTGAGCAGGAGTGGTGGGCAGGAATGGATTAGAGACAAGCGCTTCTTCCAGGAAGAAGTCTCCAGGGATTAGGGCCAAAGCCCAGTTCTTGGTCACAGCAACTTTGGGAGACCCAGCTCTGTAGGCTAGGGAGGCCTTGCTGGCCAGCCTTCTGCTATTGCCAGTAGGGTGGGGGTTCCAAGAACATAGGTGATGTGCCAGATAGAGCTGGGGCTGCTCTGGCTGAGAGGAACTGACGCCCTCAAGGAGGCAACCCTAATCCGGGAGAAATCACACCAACCAGACTGTGGCACATGGGACTCCCTGTCCCTCGTGGGACTGACAGCCTCCCCCCGGACCTTGTGCCAGTCCACACCAGGACGCCAGGCTGCAACAGTGCAAGCAAGGCCTCCCACCTGCTCCCAAGCCCCTAGGGGCTCACCGACCCTGGTAGGGGGCTACACCAGGAAACAGCTGTGGCGGGAGGGAAAGCAGAGGAGAGGCACTGGGCAAAGCTGCCGTGTAGACAGTCCTGCAGCCAGGCCCAGGAGACCCACAGCTGCTGTGTACCTCCCATTCTGCCCAGTGCCAGCACTGCGAGCTGTGAGCTGGGCTCAGGCCTGAACAACCAGGGCAGGGGGGAGTGAATGGGCAGGAAAGAGGCCAAGAGTCTAAAACCAAGAATCAGAGCGAGTCCACACACAAGGACCGAAGGGGAAACCCTAAGCCAAGTTTCCATAAAACAATCAAAGCAGGGAAGAGGACTGGAGCATGAGCCAGAGGAGGCGGCAGGGCTGCCTTAATAAAAGTGTGGGGCCACCCTCCCTTCCTCAAATCCCCAAAGCACCAAGGCAGCCTGCCCGGTACAGTTAGGGCCCCCTTTCGGGCTCAGTGGATCCAAGGCCAATGCCCTGGCTGGTGCTTTGGCTCCTAAATCAAACTTTCTACTGCCAAGAACTCTCCCGCACTGACCTGAAGTTCCCCATCTAACTTTATGCTCTGTCCAGCCGGGTGAGTTGTGTATTCTCTAGATTTCCAGACACACACACACCGCCAGCAATGTCTCAGCAGCGGTGGTACCAACACGGATTCAGCCCTAGGCTTTGTTGCCAGCTTGGGCGGCAGCAGTTCAAACAGCCAATCGAGAAAGGAAGTGTTAAGCGCCTGGGGGCTGGACCCAGACAGTGGCTGCACCGGCGGCGGCGGCAGCAGCGCAGGGCAGCCACCAGGCCGTGGCACCGAGGGCTCCTCCAGCACGAGTCTGCCAGTCGCCGCCTTTGTTGACGGACTTTGCCACATGCTCGGCTGACACGCGATGCTCCGCCCTGGCGGGGCTGGTGCCAGGCTGCCGGCCAAGCACCCGGCGGCGGCGGCAGCGCTGGGCCGGCCGCCTGGTCGGGGAGAGCCTCCGAGGCGCGCGCTCTCCAGAGGCCCCGGGATCCCAGACAGACAGCGAGGAGCGGCCTCCCCAGCTGGGAAGTATCGGATTTCAACCGGTTCTGCCACCTTCCCCCACTCAGGCCCCAGCCAGCCAGCGGCAGTCTAACTCGGTCCCCAGGGACCCCCAACCGGCAACCCTCCCCCCTCCCCCGCCCCGTGAAAGCCATCCCCTTCCTAGCCAAGGGTGGGGTGCAGCTCGATCTCAGAGCCTGTGAATGGGCTGACCAGCAACTCCAGAGGCCAGAGGTGAGCGCCTCCGTGCCCATCCTGTCCCAGCAGATGACTGACAGCCAAGACTGGAACTCTGCCACCATGCCCTTGAGGCCCAGCTGAGCCAGGGCTGTTGACCAGAGGTCAGAGGCCAGTCCCCGGCTTCCCCAGCAGCCTCGACGGCTGCGTCCCCCAAGCCCTGTGCCTACTTGCTGCAAATGAAGCCGGTGGAACTGGTCAGCAATGCACTGGAGCTTCCGGGCGATCTGGATCTCTGCTCGGTGTTGCCACTGGCCTTCAGGGGGCTGCTCTCCGAGCGGGAAGCCTGCAGCGACACCGACAGGAAGAGGGAGCCGGTAGCCAGCACTGCCTGCAAAGAAAAAGGACCCAGCTCTGAGCGCTTGGCGCTGCCCCGCCCTCCAAGCCTGCCTGGGGGGTAGAGGGGGGAAGGGAGAGGAGCCGGCCTGCTTCCTCAGGCTGCTCTTGCCAAGCTCGGAAAGCCTGCCCAAGCGTGTAAAAGCTTACAGTGGGGGACAGCAGGGACTGGTCCCAGCCCTCCCTTGGGCTCCCATTCACCGCCAGTGCCACGCAAAGGGCAGGGTGTAAGTGTCGGTGCCAACCTTCTGTCCTTATCAAGCTACACTTGACCACGTAGTAGCAGGTGGAAGCCCTCCAGGGTTCTCAAAGCCCAGAACAGAGCCAGGGAACACTGCAAAGTGTCCCTTTTTGGATGCAGTGGAGCAGGGTTGATTTGGCTCCTGGTACTCGGAGGGGGCCGGGGGAGGCAAGCGGCACCAAAATGAGAGAGAGGAAATCCTGAGACCCGCTGAAGAAACAAGTTCCTCTCTGGAGACAGCGCCAGCGGGCGGGGAGAGCGCTAACCCGGAGCTGCAGGCTTACCGCAGGCAGGCATCGAAGCCACCCGCCGCCAGGGGCGCCAACCCGCCGGCGACACGCCGCTTCTGAGTCCCGCCAAAACCGCTTGGCAAGAATTGCCTGAAGGGTCAGTTCCCTCTGGGAAGAGCTGCGGCGTCTCTTCAGCCTGCCCCCGCCAGACACTGCGAGATAACCTCCTAACCTCCGCCCTCCTCGCGCTAAGCACCGGCTGCGCTTTTGCCAGAGGAGGGCATGTTTCTCCCTGAAACAAATGTCAAAGCTCACAGATGAAGGAAGGGGTCTTGTCCGGCTGGGTCTGGGACACAGCCCCTCTGCTGGCATCAAGCCCAGACAAGCCCAACCTCTCTCTCCAGTTCCCCTTCCAGGCACAGAAAGTCCCAAGTGACAACTAGGGAGAGGGGGACGCTTTCTGCCTTCAGGAATCTTCCCTCCTGGACCCGCCTGGGTTTTCCCCCTCGGTGTCAACAGCGAGTCACAGATCCCGCAAACATTCTTGGGAACAAACAGGGGCCACCTTGCAGATAGCAAATCCTTACCAGGACAAGGCAGGCTGATGTGAAGGGGGAGGGGCAGCATAGGATGCCAAAGGGGACAGACACCTGGACCCCAGAAGCCTTCCAGAAAAGGCCATAAAAGGGTAAGGCCATGGGTCTAGGTGAGGAGAAACTAGAGGCTGGCAGCGGTTTTAGCATCCAGTACTCAGCAGCCCCCTGCTGCTGCTGCTGCAGCTGCTGCTGGGTTAGGGAAGGAAATAGTGAAGGGCAGGTTTGGGGAGGGAAAGTCCCCTCTTTTCCCCCAACCTGCCTGGGAGGAGTCCTGAGGCTAAGCTCACTTACCATAAAAGAGGCGCTGGGGTTCCTCTGTCACCCCACAAGGCAGCATGACACCTTGGCTCGGGGAGGCGGGGCTCAGGGTCTGGGTGGCCTTGTCTTCTTGGCTGGTGGGTCGTAGCCCAGGGCCACAGCAGTGGGTGAGAGGGAAGAGGTGCAGCCGCCCCAGGGGGCAGTCCAGCTGGCTCTGGGCAAGCAGGTCGGCGGCAGAGAGCAAGCCTTGGGGCTGAGTCCCCGGCTCCCCATCCTCCAGCTGGAACACATCATCTTCCAGCTCCTCCACACACTGAGAGGGATCCATCTCCCCTGTGAGGGTGACACAGGCATCTGGGTGGCTGTCCCCAGCCCAGCCACATCTGTAAGGATCCCTCTCACCAACCACCCCCGCCCCCCGCCTCTTTCTTTCTTTGCTTTGAGTGCGTGGAGCTTGGTGCTGGCGTCATACTATTCCTGCTGGGAAACACACAGGCTGGAGGAACACCCACCACCAAAATGTGCCCTTGCATCTCCCAACCCCTCACATCTTTCCCCTGCCACTTCTGACTCCTGAGGTTTTAGCGGGACTGGGGGGGGGGGGGGAAGGTGTGAGCAGTTGCAAGGGGGTGGCACCAGCTCTGGAAGCAGGCAGGCACCTGGGAAAAATCTCTACAAAATGAGCCTCCGAACAGAACTGTGGGTGGGCCTGGCCATACACATGATGTCCCAACAGACACTCTGTCCCTCAAGAGGCAATCTCCAGATTCTTCTCTTGTTCTGAGCAAAGCTCCAGGCTCAGCAGCAAAAACAAAAGCCAGCCTTCCCCCGGCAGCCAGGTTCCCTCCAAACCAGCTAAGCCCCGCCCCACTGCCCATCTCCGCTAGTCCCCACCCCCTACTTGCACAACACAACAAACAGGCTCTGTGCAGTGTGGTAAGAGAGTGTCCCGGGAGAAGGGATAAGGACCCAGGTTAGTCATTGCAGCGCCCCCTCCACTCCCACCCCAGCTCTCCTCCTGTAGAAAGGAGCTATCTGCTCGGCACAGGTTACCCGGCCAGGCAGGGCCAGCACCGGCCCAGCATCAGCCTCTCCCGGCTCAGTCCACTCACTAGTCTCCAGGACTTTAAACTCTCAGCCCCACAGCCTGCCATTCCTGCCAGCGCTGAACCTGAGAACGGACGTGCCTCACAGAAGGAAGTGAAATTCAGCCCCCTGGCTGTGACCTCACTTGCAGCCTGTACAGCTCAGGCTGTTGACGTCTCAGAGTGATAAAGAAGTTCCTCTTGCTCCACCTGATGGCACTAGCCTGTCTTAGCCTGGAGGCCACTCAGCATCTCAAGCCTCCGACCCAGTCCCACTTTAAACACACACTGCAAACCCCTAGAGTCTCTGGGACAGCCAGAAGCAGCCAGCAGGATGGCTAAGGAAACAGAAAGATTAGGTTCCTTTTCTGGGACTCTATTCGAGACCCCACACCCTTCTATCCGTACCCCCCATCCCCTCCTCCCACCAGCTCTGTGAAGAACAAACCAAATGGGTCTGTGGATTGGGGCAGGACTTCAATCAGAAACCCCGCCTCTCCCAGGTCTCTCTGGGTGATCGCTACAGCCCTCCCACCACCCCATGCAGCGCCTGAGCTACTCTGGCCTCTTCCCTGGAGCGTGAGTGGGGAGATGATTGCTGGGGTGGCAAAGATTTGTGGTATTCTTTGGGCAGGGTGGGGGTTGGGGTACATCCAGCTTATCAGCCATGATGTGGGAGGGACGTGGGGGTGTGAGAGGACCCAGAACTGTCACCTGGCAGGCGCTCCTCCTCCTGCCCAGCAGCCTCCTCTGGGAAGGCTGGCAATCACAAGCAGGAGTTATTGTCTCGGTTTTTCTTTTGAAGCCTAGAGCCTTCCCCTCCCTTCCCCCTCCCAGCAAAGCCCCAAAGTTCAACTTTGGCCTGGCCAGGACAGTGGGGGTGGTGTCTGCAGCCACAGGGTGTCGCTCCGCAGCCCCCACTCTCACCCCAGGGGTCCCCTCCCATTCTTCCCGGGAACTGCAGGTGGCTCTCGGGTCTGTGAGTGGGAGAGCTGGTGGACGAGGTCAAATGTGAACCGCCACAGGGCGGTTCACTCTCTCTCCAGCCCCTGGGAGGAAGGCGCTTCCCCAACAACTCTGCCAGAGAGACGCTTAATTTCCAGCAACAGGAGCTCAGGACGGCCGTGGCCATCCCTGCCCCTAAGGGCTGGAGCAGAGATGCTGAACTTAAGCTCCTCCCCCTTCGGAGAAGGCAGCAGCCAGATACTCAGAGTGGTTAAAACCTCAGAACGCGCGCGCGCGCATACACACCACACACACACACACACTCGATCACGCCCCAGACCTGAGTGACTCCAGGAGAGGGTCTCCGTCTCCGAGTCGTGATGCCAGGGCTCCGCGCCAGGGTCCAGCGTGACGAGCGCTCAGGGGGCTTGGCGCCCAGACTCGGTGGAGAAGTGAGGAAACAGCTCAGCTGTTAAGGAGAGGAGCCTTCAGACTGGAGGTGACACGTCCCTCCCGACTCCCCAGCCCTACCCCCCCATCGGACCCCGAGGCCGGGCTGTTCTCGGGTCCCTGCAGCGCAGCCCCTGGCCCCGCTGCCCACCTGGACTCAGGCCTTCGAGTCCCACATGCTGCTACTCCCAAGTTGCCTCACAGAGCAGTACACACCGACGTGGGTTCCTGCACGCCAACTCTTCTTGGTCGCCCGGACACCCGCAGCCGAAACCCCTCCCGGACCCCCACGCGCAGCGCGATTCGGCTCCCCCACTTCCCGAGGAGGCGCGATCCAACTCCGCCCGGCCCCCGGCTGCCCGGGCGCTCACCGGGCTGAGGGGCGGGCGGCGCTGGCAGGGGCGGCGGCGGCGGCGGGCGCGGGAGGAGGCCACTCCGCACCGTGCGGTATTGTTTCCAAAATACGCCCGCTCAGGGCATCCCGCAAACAGCTGATGAGGCCCCGCCTCCGGGCGCGTCACGCCGACGGCTGGCCAATGGGGAGTGGAGCCCCGAGACCCGGGCTGGGAGGCTGCCAGGGACAGTCACGAATGTACGCACCCTCCCTTGGAAACATTGCAAGGGGCCGAGCAAAACTCAGACCTCCGCCAGAGGCGCAGTCGGGGCGCCCGGCGCTCAACTGGGATTCAACTCCTAAGGCAGGTTCCGGAAGCGCCCGACAGTCCCCGAGGCCTCTCGGTTCGCCAAGAGGGAGGGGGCGCCAAAGTGACTTTTGTCTACTTCTGTCGGGACGGGTCGAGAAGGAGGAGGAGGAGGGGAGGCGCTGGACGGGAGATTTTACAAGTGACTGACTTTGTCCAGCCGGTGCAAGGTGCGGGTCCCAGTGAATCACAGCCCTGATGGCAGACAGCGCTCCCCTCGTCTGCGGGGACGGGCGGAAAACGACGCCAGCCCCAAAGCAGGAGGACACGTGTTTCTGGCACTGTGACTGAGTGACATCCCGCTCGAACACATCCAGAACACATCCACGGGGGCTCTCGTATCCTCTTTCCCGGAGCTGCACAGCGGCAAAAGGAAACACCTGATTGCAAGAGGAGAAATGGAAAATGCCGCGGCCGCTGCGGAGCAGCTCGTGCGCACACACACACACACACACACACACACACACACACACACACACACACACACACACACACACAATCTGGAAGCCCCTTGTGACCCTGCTGGAGCTGCCCAGCAGATAAATGGCACAGCCTCGGCTCCTTTGCAAACACTGAATGCCTACTGTGTCTTGGGCACCCAAGTGCCCCAGACCTGACCCCTGCCCTCTGAGGACCTTAGGGTGCACTGGGAGAGGTAGCTTCAAGTCATGGAAAGCAGGGAAATGAAGCCACAAAAAATCAGAATGCCACCACCCAGGAAGGCTTCCAGGACATGGTGTTTGAGCCAGGCCTTGTGGGGTCTCCAAGTGTAGGGAAATTTTTTTCAGTAATGGCTACTTGAAGAAGCAGGCTGGGGTATCCAGGCAGCTCAAAGAACTGCTAAATTGAGAGAGCGTATCCAGGGCGTCAGGGCAGAACGGATGACCAGATCATAGAGCATGGCCTGAGAGCTAGGAGAGGTGGACCTAGGCAGGTGGGTTCTGGTCAAATGCCACAGGTGTCCCTGGAGTGCTAGGCTGAGGAATTGTGTTGTAGGATTTGACAAGCCTGACTTATAAGGAAGCTAAGTGAAGAATTCCAGAACTCAGTGAGGGAGCCAGCATTGTGGTGGTGCCGTTTGCCCTGCAGGCAGCCTACAGATCCAGTTCCCTGCTGATGCACCTGGGCCCCTGCCATCCACTTGGGTGACCTGGGTAGAGTTCTGGGTTCCTGGCTTGGGCCTAGCCATTTCGGGAGTGAACTAGCAAATGAAAGCTCTCTCTCACTCTCCCACTCTCTTTGTACCTCTGTCTTCCAAGCAAATGCATGCATAACTAATTAATAAAAGAACTCATTGAGAAGGAGCCCTTCCCTGCACAACCTAGGTGAGTGGAGACAAAGCCTGTCGCCCTCAGGACAGCAGAGCCAGGTCACGCATTGGCCTCCAACCCTCTTTCTCTGGGTCGTGAACTTCCATAGAAGTTGCACTGGGATCTTCAGCCCCAAGGCACTGGAAGTCTCGTTGTGCCTTTTTCCTACCCATTCTTCTCTGGTCCCTCTGCGTGCACCTTGAAGAAGAGTGAAACTGGCATGTTGAGGATGGTGGTAACTAAGGCAGGAAAATGGTGTTTACTACAGGCACAGAGGGAAAGAGGAACGGAAGTCCAGGCTTCCAGCAGACCAGCAGGAGGTGTTAGCGCCAAATAGAAGACAGTATGTATTATTTCCTGACAGGCTTCATCAAGAGGGAGCGTTGGCTGGCCAGGGTGACCTTGCACTTGCACCACACTAGGGGAAGGGGGTGGAAGATGAGGAAGGCAAGTCCAGCTGCTGAGAAGGGCACTGGCTAGGAGCCCAGCACCATCTCCCACGTACACACCTGTTTCCTCGCATCCTTCCCATTGGCTTTCACTTGGTCATTGCTTCCAGCTGGTTCCAACAGTGGCGAGTTTTAATCCTTCACAGGGTCACAGACTTGTCTTGGAAATTGTTGTAAACGGAGTCATCATGCCACAAACACAGGTTAGCCAGGTCTGGGGCTCATAGACCTTAAATAAAGCAGAAACCCCAAATTCTGGTGCAGTGGGCTAGGCCACCATTTGTCATTCCAGCCTCTTGTGAGTCCTGACTGCTCACTTCTGACCCCACTCCCTGCTGGTGCATATGGGAAAGTAGTGGAGGGTGGCCCAGGTATGTAGGTTCCTGCACCTGCATGGGATACCGAATGGGATTCTTAGCTCGTGGCCTAGCCAGACCTCTCCCTCTGTCTCTCTCTAAACATCATGTTGCCTTGCATATAAATAATCATTTTTACTCTTTTTTAACTTAGTCATCTTATTTTTAAATGATTTATTTATTTATTTGAAAATCAGAGTGACAAAGAGAGAAAACAGAGAGAAATCTCATCCTGACTGACCTTCCAGCAGCCACAATGGGAAGCCAGGAGCTTCATCTGGGTTTCCATGTGGGTATTATGGTCCAAAGTCCTGAGCCATCTTCCACTGCTTTTTCTAGACCATTAGTAGGGATCTGGATTGAAAATTGAGCAGCCAGGATATGAACTGGGACCCATATGAGAAGCTGTTTTCACAGCTTATCAGTTATGCCACAATGCTGGCCCCTAAATCTTTTTTTTAAAGATTTATTTATTTTTATTGCAAAGTCAGATTTACAGAGAGGAGAGATAGAGAGGCAGATCTTCTGTCCTCCGATTCACTCCCCAAGTGGCTGCAACAGCTGGTGCTGCGCTGATCCGAAGCCAAGGGTCAGGAACTTCTTTCTGGGTCTCCCACGTATGTGCAGGGTCCCAGTGCTCTGGGCTGCCTCAACTACTTTCCCAGACCACAAGCAGAGAGCTGGATGGGAAGCAAGGCTGCTGGGATTAGAACCGTCGTCCATATGGGATCCTGACAAGTCCAAGGTAAGGACTTTAGCCGCTAGGCCACGGCACCAGGCTTCCCCCACCCCCCGAATTTTTTGAGCTAAATAAATAATGATTATTACCATTGTACAAGTATGGGAGCTGAGGGGGGAAGGGGTGTCTTAGTGAGTCAGAGATATTAGGAAGATAGGAGACCGCCATAAAGCTGAGCATGGGTTGGGTGCCTTTTTGAAAAACGAAAGCAAATGTAGAAGCAGAGGGATCACTCATGCTCTGGTTACTCCTCCAATGCCAGTGACCCCCAGAGCTGGGCCAGGAGCCAGGAACACACTGGGTTGCTCCTGAGAGTGGCAGTGACCCAAGTAGTTACCCAAGTACGCATTCCCAGTGGCCCTCTAGGGTGCGGGTGAATAGGAAAGCTGGAATCCCAAGCGGAGCTAGGGCTTAAAACAGGCACTCTGCTGACAAGCCATGTGGTTGTACCACTGCCCAGGATCGACTTTTGAGACACCTGTCCCACACCTTCCCAGCTATCAGCCTCTTCAATCAAGCAGCAGGGGCCAGTCCCCAGAGCTGGAAGGGATCAAGGGGTCAAAAGGGTCAGGAACCTCAGCCCACCTTTCATCACGGTCACAGTAGACCTGCCCTCTCTGCCCTTTCTCCCCACACAGCAGTGTCAGGACGCATCTGGGCCCCAACCGCCAGAGCAGCAGCAGCATCCTAGGACTCAAAGCAGTGGCGCATGACAGCCACAGCAATCCATGTTTGGGAGAACTGTGTCCCCATGGTTTTCTCTGAGGCAGACTCTGCAAATCAAGGCTCCCCAGAGAAAGACAACACTGCTCTGATCCCTCAGGGAGAGAGACCCAGCTCCACCTTCCCCTGCATTCGGGGAAGTATGCAAAGAGTTAAGAGGCAAAAGCAAAACACCCTCCCATCCCACTGCCACCCCGCCCCCACTCCTCCCGGCAGAGGAACAGGGCTGGAACCACCTCATTGTTTCACCTGGCTATAGGATTTCTCTCTGAGACAAGGAATGGGCTCTAAACCTCCAGTAACTGGATCACTGGAAAGGGAGGCTTTTTTAAAAACCAGCTGACAGCAGAATAATAGGAATTACCCAGCAGGCTGCCCTAGGGTTACCCAGGCTTGTAACTCAACCCCCAGGGAGGAGCACGATTGGAAACTGATTATAGGGGAGGTGGGAATCTTAATGGGAGCCTCCATGATGCTTGGCCCCCTTACCTCTTGGCTCCCTCCAAGAAGGCCTGAGATCCTCTGCTGGCTAGGCTCACCCTAGCTTGTGAATTTATCATTCTGTGTACCAACCCATCTGTCTGCAAAGAATAATTGTTCCCTTCTGAGCTGCGTAGTGTCTGTGTGTGTGACTCGAGACAGAAAGGAGGAATATACATTGGCTTCTGCTAATTGGGCAGAAGTCACTGAATCAGGTATGAAAGGAAAAGCATCTGGGAATGTAAAGACAGGGAGGTAGAGTGGCCCCAGAGAATCTGCAAGATGAAGGACGCGATCCAGGACCCCGTGAAGGATGTTGTACTGAGTGCCTTCAGCTTTGATCTGGGGGACCCCTCAGTAAATATTTGCTGAGTGAATGAAAGCATATTTCCCCATTTGAAACTACAGTTCCACATTATGAGATGATCAAGTGAGCCACTGGAGGGGCTTTCCAACAAATTTCCTGTGTCCATCATGTTGGCCACATGGGATCCCTGACAGCCCCTTCGATTCTTTTCCCTACACAGAGAACTCTCCCAAGGCCAGGGTGATGCTTGCTGCTCTCA